AACTTAATTCAAAATAAATTTAACTAATAGATTGGATCTTTAGAGGTTAAAAATAAATATTGATTATGATAAACAACTTTATTTTACAATATAATTAAAAAATGTGATTTTTTGTTTAATTTTATATCGCCGCCTCATATCCGCCTAGGCCGCGTAATCGTTCGCCTAGACCGCATAAACGCCCGCCTAAACAACATAAACATCCGCATTTTTAAGAAACGCATAAATCACCGAATAACCTAAAATCGGGGTGCCCGACATCCGCGTAGCGCCTGGGTGCCGCGTAGCCGCCCGCCTAGACCGCGTTTTAGAACACTGGTAAACAAAAGAATAATTAATAAAATTTTCAAAAAAAATAAACTAAATACTCTACCATTTTTTCTTCTCTTATCTTTCAAACTTTTGTTATATTTTTTTAATGGTTAACGTCTCTTATAATTTTCATATATTGTTAAAGAAAATGATTTTTTATTTATATGGCATAATTAAGAAAAATATAAGATTTAAAAATCAACTTCACTCATTGAACGATTTACTATGGCTTGACCTTTTTTTTTAGATTGAACTTTTCATAGTAGTATTTTTTTATTGAACATTAAATATAATATGACAATGATAAATTGATTTTCTGTTATATATAAAACTTGAATATTGGCTTTTTTAATATTAGCATGTAAAAATATGTAACTGTTGATTTTAAAAATCTCTTATACATTATTTGAAAAGTGATTTTCTCAAATTTGCTTATGTGTTGTCACTAGAATCACTCTCACCAATTTTATTATGACATGAAAAATATGACATGGCAAATGTGAATCAAAACAATATCTTTTACCAAAATTTTCTATCACTAAATTTATAATTGTTTCCATAAATAATCAAAACTAGGTGATTGATCCGCACCGTGTGTGGGAAGAAATTATTTTAGGAGAATAGCTTAATTTTATTATTTAGTAACACAATTTTATTATTTATAAAATTAAATATGAATAATTGTTAGGTTTTATACTTAAATGATTATAAGAAAGT